ATCCTTCTGCTGCATTTGACAGATACCGAGCTGAAGAATTTATCTCTGAAGTGTGTAGGTTTGCAGTGTGCAGGACATATCAGGCAGTGATGCAAGTAATTAGCACCTGATGTGACAACAGGATGGTACTGTAAGCCACAATGTCTAAACTTTAGTTGAATGTATATGAGCCTTGAGATCCTGTGACAAAAATGAAAATATTTCCTGTCACTTCAGCAAAGAACTAGCAGGGAGATATTAAAAAACCCCCATAAATACTGAAGCCCCTGAAAGCTAATGGACCAGTTTCCTTTAGCTAAAGTGACAGTGTCTGCCAAGAAATCCAAGGACCCAGCCTAAGTTTGTCTCTTTGGAGCAATTAGTCAATCAGTACCTTTACAGATCTGTGAAATAATATGTCCTATTTCATGCATCTGTGCAAGAATTACTTAAAGTGATAAGGTTACTGCACTGAAGCCTGGCAAAGACTTACAATAGGCTTGTATGCTGTTAGAGTCACTAGCAGCAGGCTAAGAAATGTCAACTGTAATTAAACCCAATCATTTTCAAATATATGCCATGTTTTGGAAATGGTGAGGAAAGCTTTTCACAGTAAGAATTCTCAGCCCTGTGAGCACAGACTTTTTTAAGATTTTTTTTTTTTCTTTTTATGAAAAGAAGATTTTTTTCTTTTTCTTTTGGCAACACCATTTTGGAAGATGTTTATTCATTAAACCAATTGTATCAAAAATCACAGAACTGCAGATTTCTTCTCTAAACTTGTCACAGTTCTTTCTGAGACTGCATTTAAGGATTGTCTCTGCATGTAATTCTGAGTGCATTGCATGGAATCTATTTTAAAAATCTGTGAAATATTTTGGCAAAACAACTATTTACTGAAAAGTGGCATTTCAAAATACTAAAATGAAATTGTATTCAGGTTTTGGCAAATACTTTTTGAAAAATAAAAAATACAAGTTTGTAAATGGTTAACAACTTGCTTCTAAAATAAAACATTTAAATTACTAAAGATTCTAAAAATTCTTAAGTTACTAATTAGTACTTATTACGAACTTCACAGTTTCTATCTGCAGAGATAAGAAGAAAATAATGGCTCCCCTATACCTAGTTCATCTAACTCTCCTTGTACTGCACTGATTTAGTAATTTAAACATGATCCTTCTCGAACCCAGGCAAGCTGATTAGCAACAGAGTTGTAAGGTGCTTCAGGACAAAAGCATCTCACTGTGAGGTTTAAAACTGCAGCAGTGTCAGCCCTTTCATTTGCTAGAAAGGGCTCTCTGGCCACTCTCATACCTAATAAGTATTTGGTTGATCATTAAAAATGTAATAGAGCCAACTGAATACACTGCCTCTAGTCATCTTCATAATTCCATATCCTCATCCAGTATACTGATCTGGAGACAGCAGACCTGTAAGTATTTTTTCACAACACAGCCAAAATCCATTTTTGAGAGTCTGAGAGGTATGGTGATGGAAAAAAATTTGTTACTGTGTGCAAGCTGGATAAGTTTCTATGTATGCCAGGGCAATTCTGGCTGGCCTTACTTATGTGTCTGAAGAGATTAAGTGTAGTGCTGAGTGCTGTCTTGGCACAATCTTTCAACTCAGAATAGGCGCTGTAGTTACGTGCTTTTGACAGCAGGGAAGAAAAACAAAAAGTGAAAACTTTTCTACTAGTTTGCCCACAAATTTACTGAGTTGAAATCTATTGTTTTTCAAAGTTAAATTAAGACCGAGTATAATTTTGAAGGTTGAATCTCACTCCTTCTGGAGTCAATGACCAAATATTTGTTTAACTTGATTAGGGCCAGTATTTTGTTGTTAAGAAATGTTAGCTATCCCCTACAGAGAACAAGTAGCTTTTAAATGTGATAAAGCACTTTCCCTACCTTCTGGTAAAATAGTTTGGAAATTGTACAATTATTTAATGACAGGTTTCTGTTGTGAAAAGGCATCTCAGCTCCAATTTGTTTCCTCTTTGGACAATATTTAGCTTTACTGTAAACTTCTTACAGTCATCTCAAATAAAAAAAAATCGCTTGGGACTACCTTTTTAGAAAAGTGGACTGAAGACATAATGACAACAGGAGAATACACTAATGTCATTTAAGTGAAATAATGAAATGCAATGATAAAATTTTTGAATGCCTTCATGCCTGAATCGGCTACTTTGAAAGTAAAGTGGTTCACATTATATATAAAATGCTGAAGAAAAGAATGAAGAGAATATATTATGACAAATTTTATTCCTTTTTGTTCACTTAATACCCATCAAACTTAATTCTATGTCGTAATTTTAAAATTGCATTAACTAAATAGAAATTTTAAGAGAACCAGTGCAAGCTTCAAACTACATTACTACTTACTGCTGTTTTAATTGATAGATATTTTGATCTTATTAATTATTGATATTTATATAAAAAATGTAAAGACTATTTTTAAAGTCTTCATTGCTTTTGTATACAAAAGGATGACTTTATTATGCATTTATTCCTATGAGGTTCATTATCGTGCAACTATTTCTGGTATGAATGAATATCTTGAGACAGATAACATCTTTGTCTTCTCAGGGTGAAGAGACATATTTCCTGCCTAAAAACAGCATCCTCACAAACAGCAACAGTATGTTTCATAAACTTTGAACTCTACTATGAGAACCTTTCAGGATGATCACTCTTCCGGCAAAAAACAGTTAACAGTAAATTGATTATTGTCCTTAGCTCAATACAAACCTGTAAAAGAAATCTGCATTTTTCAATGCCAACACCCAAATTTGAATCAAGATAGCTTTCAACATGCAGCTACTATGATTCTTTTAACTGGTTCTAGAAACCATCAATTAAATATTTACCTGACTAGTGTGGCTCTCCCTGTGTCTGTGAATTGATGAGCCTGCTGTAGTGCTGGCAGACAGTCTTGAATATTCATTTTCCTCAGGTAAACCTAAAACAGAAGAATACTCATTTATAACCTGAGATTTCTGCATTGGCTGATTTCAGTATAAGATTCAAAAGACCTTGACATGTTTTACTAAGGAAAGAACAAAAAAAAGTTACACATTTGCCTGGATATTTACTATTTCCATGCTTACTGAAACTGGATCGATTATTGTTTACTAAGTATGAATAGCATCGCAGCATGCTGGTTTACAAGAAGGAGCAAGGAAGAGTCTACAAATAATACATTGCCTATACACTGGCCAGGGATTCCTTCTGCAATATGGAAATCCCTGGCTCCTCTTTCCCTGGCTCCTTTTCATTGCAGAAATAATGCAAAGGGAACAAAAACCAAGCCTGTGGTCTGCTCTCAGATAATATCTCTATGTCACACAGGAAGTCAATATTAGGTCCAGGACTTAAAACTTCATCTCCTCAGTACAGAACTTTTTTTTTGTAATTCTTGTACTTATTGTGCACTCTTGATGTGGGAATTAGCTGCCCAAAATTTAACTGTGTAACAACCAGTCGTCCAGCGTAAAAGAGCCAGTTAGTCTCCCTCTGTAGTCAAGAGAAACAAACACCTCTGCACAGTGATCTTAGAGTGAGGGTCATTGCTGGCTGGGGTGGGAAGGTGTTATTAATTTAATTCAAATAAAAGGTAGAATGTAAAATATTTGCACAATTTTAGAGCACTAGAAATGAATAAAAATACTTTCCTAGGCCAGGCCGCATGTTATGGAAAAGTTATTGCTTTTACACTATATTAATACATTTTAGGATCTACCATCCATGACAACCTTGAGTTAAGAATCAAGTTATCAATGACTTTATGTTTATTTCTGTAAAAAGCAGTTTGATAAGAGGTCTTATCAAATAAGTAAAGTTTCCATGTACAGCAATAGCACATTGTCACAGACATGGTAAGCAAAGGCTTGGTAGAGTTTGGAAAGATAAATGAAGTAGTTGATTACATTCCAAGAGCTTTCCTTTATGTACACCTAAGTAAATATTAGGATACCACAGCTGTGCATTGAATAAGACCTTGCTTAATTCAGCCCAAGGTTGAAATCATCAGTTTAGCAGGGCTAGGGGCAGAATTACAAGAACCTAAGTTAATCAGGGGTTCAGTCTGAGCACAAACTACAACATTTGGATTCAGTTTTCCTGCAACTATTCTCAGGTTACCAAAAGTAAGCCTAATTTGGCATTTTTTTTGCAAAATCATGCTTGCTATACATTATTGTTACAATTATATGTGGTGGTGAAAATGACAGTAAGGAATGAGTCAATCAATAACCTCTAACTGTAGAAGTGAAAAGAAAGAAACACATGCCGTTTTTCCACATAATCAAGAAAGCAGCCTTTTCCTAGGCATTCAAACTAGAAACCCAATCCTTCACCCACTTATTCCCTGTAATGTCTTTTCTATATAGCTTCAAAGGAAGATCCCACACCAGATCTCTGATCTTCTTCTTGTACTTTCTGTTCCCCATTTCTTTCCTATTCTCAGATACTCCTCTTAGAATCCTACAGATAAATAAATTGCATCTCAAATATTGAGATCTAAATCACTGGACCACAGACGTGGTTCTGTGGCTCCAGAGAACCTCCAGTTTCATTGGCTCTGCTACCATGCAATTGGAGACTCTGCACCTCCTGGCCTCCAACATCCATATTTGGAAAAAACAACACCACCACAGAGTCTCTGGGTCTTTGCAACCATGGTCATTCATCAATCCTCAAACCTTCATGTTTCTGCATTCACACACAGGCTGCATTTACTGATCAGCTCCACTTGATACACTGGCAGACATATATGTAGATGATATATGGCAGATATATGCCTGTGAAACAGGCATCACCAGGAAAAGGGGAGATGTAGGGCTCTGTTCTCAGTAGCATGTAGCCTGTGTCATGGTGACATGCCTCTTTGCTGTCAGGTTATGATGTCAGGTCTGCTATGATACCTCTCCCATTCCATGGCTTCTTGCCTGATGAGCTTAGATCTGGCAGCGAGTTTCAAGAGGCTGTGTAGCAGACTGCAGCCCACAGGTGACCTGTTCAGGCAGAATGGCTGCCTTCTTGACAGCTGGAATTAGACAGGACTAATCCCCTTACCCGAATAATGCTTGGGGGTTTTGGTGAAACAGACAGGCTCTTATAGTCACTCTGATGCCAATCTGCATAAACTATATAGGAGTCCATTCACATGGATCTCCATACACAAGCAGTGGACTTCAGATGTAAATGAAGAGGAATAACCAGGGAGGCTTCCTTCAAGGGACAGTAAAGTGCCAAGAGCTGCATGAAGAGCACAGTGCAAAGTGCGTGTCTTATCTGTGTAATAACTACTCTAATTTTCACTTGGGTTACACAGAATAAGCACCTCTACAACACACTCCACTGGGTGTACAGAACTGTCAGATAGCTGGGTAATATCTCCCCTTTGCTAACCAAGAGTTAGGTCATCTCAGTCACTTACTATAGTTATCAAATTTAAAGTTTTAAATTAATGATTAAACATTTCTCTATATCCTATTAGGTGCTAGCTGAAAATGACAACAAATTTCAGTAACTTTTACCTGCAGTGTTTTGAGAGTCTCCCACAAAAGGATCTGTTGTTTTGGATGATGTAGGATCACAACTTTCAGCATTATGACACCAAAGGTTATTACAGGCTTTCTAATTACTTTATGGTTTGTACAAGAAATGGCAAATGTTCTTTCTTTCAGACTAAGAACTCTGATAAGCATGGAAGATTTGTGGTGGAAAAGTCATAGTTTGATAGTACAGAGCTGTAGAAAAGTGTTACTCCTAATACTAAAAATAAACTAAAAAAGAAGAGCAATATGTTATAAAAAATGAAAAATTTTAATTTTTTATTAAAAATCTGAACTCACAGGAGCGTTATTTCCTTAGGATTTATGCTTATAAGACCTTGAAAGATTTCATTCTTTCTGTCACTACTCTTGCACCATTTTGTATTGCAATGATAAACAATTTATCATTCACTAGTAGGGCACCTATAACAAAGGGAGATCCTGATTTTCCATTTTCTATCCCATTTATATTGATTATAGGATCAGAATCTCAAATCTGAGTCCTCCATGCCTTAGGCTGCTTATAGACTTGGAGCTGAACTAATTACAAATTCCTCAACACAAGCTGTTTTACTTTCTTCCCATTCAGCTTTTATTGGAGAGGGGCTTATCAGTTCACACATACCAAGTTAAGCCAGTTTCAGAAACACAGATATTTCACAACTCAGAAGATTCCAACCTGAGTATATCTTAAAAAGCTCATTCAAGCAAACATTTCAGCAATTTTATGTTAGAAGAGCTTTGGGATTAGAAACTGCTTACCATTTGATACTGAATTTCCATTTTCAGCAGTCACCAAACTGGACAGTGGATTAGATGACTGGGTTCCATGGTTATTTGCATTTTTATCCTGCGTTTCTGATCCAGTATCTGATGTATTTGGATCTTCCCTGCTTCTCAAGTTCAGATTAGTTTCAGCACCTGATACAAACAGAGAAAATGCTTGTCAGCCTCCTGTTAACTAGTGGCTTTCACATGTAAGTAGAAAAAAATCAAATTAATTTAATTAAGCACTAAATTCACAAGTCCAGTGATGACTGTGGAAGGTTTAAGTCAGTGATTTTTGCAGGGTGGTTTTTTTGTTCTGTTTCGTTTTGTTATGTTTTTTGCTAGTGTTCCATTATATTATATTCACAGGAGTTTACATACAACTGTCATCACTGCAACACCTTTCATCATTGCATTAGGTGATATGAGCAACAGATATAACATGGGGTTATTTTTTTCTTTTATCTCCTCCCACATGAAATAAAATGGCTTTTGAGATGAAACCATACGTAGCAATATTCCTCCCAGCACAGCCTCCCCATGGCCATTATTTACCCAGCCTCGGGGCTTCCCAGCCATCAGTTGTCATTTTCTATAAAGTTACAGGTTTTCACGTCAGAGCCTTTTAGTTAAATTTCTTCAAGACATCAGAGGAGGTCTGATCCTGTAGGAATTCCTAAGCTTTGTATGATGCACATGCATTTGTTCAAAGAAAAGGATAAAACAAAACCTTTTTCTTCTTTCCCCTCTGACTGATTGCACATCCACACAAAGCAGAACAGCTCACAGCAAAGTGCCTGGAGCTGGCTCTGAGGTTGCCTGGCTTTGTCAGCCCAGTGCACCACAAGAAACAGGGCTCTGCCACAGGCTATGCCTGAGTGGTGCTTGGTGCTGAACTCCCCACTGGAGTTCAGGGGCCTAAAACAGGTTCAGAGCCGGAAGGCAAGACTGTGAAGGGATGGAGACAGTAAGAGGGACCCCTCACTGCAATACTCGTATCCCTGGCTAATTTTTTTTTTTTTTGTATGGAACATATATGCATATTCTTTCCTTGTGATAGTCAGGTTTGATTCATGGAAGACAAAGCTGAATTCAATGCTCTGTTTCAGTTTTCCAAACTCTTTCCATCCCCTCTGAGAGCCGGCCTTAGGTGTTGGGCTGACGTATTATGGCTGACCTGGGTGCAGAGGTCCTCCCGCAACACTCTAAAATGGAAGTTTCTCTTCTATGACAGCTCTCAAAGAGTTATTCCTTGATTTTAGTTGTGTTTATTTAAGCTTTGTCATAATGACGACAGGAACCAACGGAGGTCAAAAGACTACCTATTAAAACCAACATTACAACATTCATTCATACTTCCAATAACATCCTCAGCTCTCCCAAAGATATGATATATTCTTATAAATCTTGAGCACATGAACATTTTTCAAGGGGAAGGAAAAACCTTTTTTCACCAGGTAATGGATACTTTACCTGCAGATTTTTCCAAGCCAAAGTTGTGTGGTTAATTTTTCATTTTTATGCCTGAACTGAAAAAAAAAATCCACCTCATTTACAAAGTGCCAACATTTAAAAAATTAATTAATGAAATGAAAACTATAAATTCATCCTGGTTAACTCAATATGTTTCACTTCTTTCAAAAGGGCTTTCTTATTTTGGTTTAGATTTCAGTTATCTAACTCTAATCCTTCTTAAGATTTCCTTGTCTAACAAAAAAACTGTCTTAAAAAGTCAAAAAGCTAATTTTCAAGCTGTTAAATAAACATTTCAATGTTTGGTTGTTTTGGGTGTTTTTTTTTTTTTTCCCTCCCTTTCTTGCCCTCATTCCCTGATCATTATTTTTTGCCAGATCTGATTGGATTGTTTCAGTGGCACTGTTTCATAAAATGCATCTTTAGGCAAATGTGCTATGCATTTAAAAAATTAGGCCAGCTCTACCCACAGTAATTGACTTGGGAGAGGAGGCAGAACCGGAGTCTGAGCTGGAAAATGCATACAGTACAATTATAAGAGCATGCCTGATTTAGTTTTTTTACAAGCAAGTTGACTGCAAAATGCCTCTTTGCAGCTCATTTTAAATTTGTCTGAAAAGGAAATGTCACTTCTAGATGTTAATAGTCAGTGCACTTGCCTATAGATCATAATCCACCTACATAATTATTGTGCCACCTTTTACATAAAGAATCTCGGGGGAAGTGGCTGGGATCCTTATTTTTCTTGATATCCAAAAGATTTATTGATTTGCCTGACATCTGCAATTCATTTGCGAATGAGTAAGTAGAAAGACTTTTTCCTGCATTTCTGTTTGTAGAAGCCTTTAGTTTCATAGGTACATTGATACCTTTTTGTGGCATTCATGGAGCGCTCTTGGAAAAAAAAAAATAGTTATCTTTTCTCCTTTGAATCTCTAGGAAGAAATACCAAAAAATATTGTGGATATATACTACTGAGCTAAAATATCATCCTAAACTGGCAGAAATAAGTAGTGGACATATATGCAGCGTATCTTTTGGGACAGCTATCTAGACAGAAATCTGTTATCCCATGTGCTCTACAGTCATTGTAAGAAATGCACACCTTTAGTTTCTAAACAGAAAACTATATAGAGAAAATATATTTCATAGTGCCTTATTTAACTGGTCTCAGGGGTGGAAAAAAAGCCTATATTTTATTTCAAAATAATCTGTATTATATAAAGGTACTTGAACTAATTTCCTATATATAGGCATCTTCAGCTCCTTTTTGGAGCAGATTAATGTGAGTCTATAGAAAAAGTGTAACTGTGTATGTTGGCAAACTTCTAACAGACTACTGGAGAAAACAGAGTGTAATCCTAGCAAAAAAGTACTGTTCATTTATTTTGGACTTTGTGTAAAATGGGTGACTTTCTGAAGAGAATCTTTTCTATAAATAGGATAATAAGAGGATGATTTAGTCAGATATAAGCAGTGTACTGTCCCAGTGACGCAAAACTTAACCTAAGATCACTCTGAAATTCAGAGTGGAAGGGACCTCAGGAGGTCCCTTGTGCACCTCTACTCCAAGCAGGGCCAGCTGTGAGGTCAGACCAGGCTTCTCAGAGCTTTGCCCAGCCAGGTCTTGTAATTCCCAGGATGGAGACTGCCCAACCTCCTTGTGTAGCCTCTCTGTCTGCCTGCCCCTGCCCTGCCTGTCCTCATGGGAAAGGTTTCAGTACCCACACTGAACCCCTCTCATTTCAGTTCCTGCCTGCTGTACCTTGCTGCCCTGCCATGCACGGCTGTGAAGGGCCCGGCTGCCTCCTCTCCATCCCCTCCCCAGTCTGTGCTTACAGAACCACACTTCAGCCCTGAGCATTTACTGTGTCCAGTTCTGGGCTCCTCAGTACAAAAGAGACAAGGAGCTACTGGAGAGGGTTCAGTGGAGGCCACAGCCCTGGATGCTACTGGCTGTCTCTGACGCTAAGTCTCACTGCCGGCTCCTGCCCAGCTCCCAGGGCCCCCAGCACCCTTTTCCCAGGGCTGCTCCTCAGACAGTCTGATCCCAGCCTATGTCATTGTAAGAGGTAATACCTTCCCAGTTGCAGTACTTTGCATTTGCATTTCACTAGACATGCCAGAAGGCCCTGACTTGATCTTCAGCGCAGGGGTATCCCTCTCTGTCCTGCCTCCTCACTATTCAAAATATCTGTGAGCATAACAAAGGTGCTTCCTGACTTCTTACCATAATATTTCTATTTAAAATTCCTACTGATTCCTATTTTATCTGTCAAGTATTGGTCTGAAATGCAGACCATTTTTTTTACCCTCATGTTTTCTTAGTCACCTAACATAGAAATTTGGACTTTTCTCCACATTAATGTCAACTTGCCCTTGCTGCCATGAAATCCTGCAGATATGCACTGCTCTCTTATCCCTTATTGACTTTCTGAAACTATCAGAAGTACTTCAGAAAACAGGAAAAGCGCACAATGGTTACTATATGGTTGAACATTTTCACCAACATGCTGAATGTTAGATTTTGTTCAGACTTGTGATCTGCTGTTCTTAACAAATGGATGGATTACTTACCAGATTTCAATATTTATTTTTTTTTAAAGTAACAGCATCTCTAACAGTTTCCAGCTAGTATTTGATGTTATTTGAAGAGACATCCATACCTACTTGCAAGAGACTAGCTACAGAGAGGTATCAGCTGTAAGAGCATGGTGGGAGTTCATGATTATAAAAGGAATACAACCTTTAAGTGAAAACCTAAAGACTCTGAAAAGTAAACAGCATTTGGACTATTATTTCAGTAAACTGACTTTGCCGAAAAGATATCTCTGACTCAGACAAGTTCTACTCTGACTAATCTTGCAGTTAATGACTATGTATAGACTACAAGGATGTATGGATATTTGGATGGAGGGCATCATTTGCCCCTCAGCTATGCTGTAGCATAGCTACTAGCTGGAAGCAATCATATGTACAGCGCTTTTAATCAGAGTATAACAAATCAAAGGGTAACAGTTATTTCCTTACAAGCAAGCTCCATATTCCAACAAATACATAATTAATTACATCAACATTACTTGAAAAGTGTAATAGGAACAGTATGCAAAAGAGGCAGCTCATGAAATCCACATTTGCTTGTTCCAATGTTCTTGGAAGAGACCAAGTTTAAAACTCATGACAAGGTCATAAGGCACCATATGGGCAGGTTTTCACTTATTTTGTAAAAAAGAATTCAGAATATGGCAATTATGGAAATTAATGTATTTGCTTCCCCCCCCTTTTTGAGTCATTATATCACTTTTAAAAGAAATCAATACACAGAAAGTCTGCGATAGAACTTTTTGTCAAAAGAATAACTTAAACTCTTTTAATTGAGCCACGACTTTCAAATATCCGATTATAAAGCTCTTTTTTTCCCTCAAACATAAAATGTATGATCCCAAACATCACAGTTATTTCATAAATAGCACTTAGGCTGAATTAATGCTTTATCACCAAATTAGAAAATGAGCCAGTACAGGCTCTATTCAGACGACAGATTAAATTGCAATACTGAAATATTTTGAGAAGCTATTAGTTTTCTACAGAAATTATACATTTAGCCTATTTAACAAAGTCTAAAGCAAAGTATAAATCAATGATTGCTATCAGCATTTAGGTGGAATCATGACAGACTGTTTGTGCAGCAAGACATGAAAAACTAGTATGTTTTAAAGGCCCAGCAGTAACTCTCCCGGTTGGGTTGTATTTTTCTTTTCTGTCAAAGTCCTTGCTTTGCTCTCCTTTCTTTAAATGGAGATATATTAATAATGTATTTCTGTCCCCATGTTTTTTTTCCAAATACTTCTCCTTATAACATTTAGTGTTCATTTACAATCTGACTGAAAACATCATTAACAACAGAAAGCCTCCACTGCTTTCAGCAGGTTTTGGATCACATTCATGCTTACCTTGGGTGCTTTGTGCAGCATGGCCAAAGCACCAAGAGACTCCTAATACAGGGTAAATATAGAGGGACTCTTGCTTTGTCTAATCTGGTTATTCAAATGTGATCATAACTGTTCTCTGGCCCTGAGGCATATGGTAAGAGACCCATATCTGTGCTATTACAGTTTCTTGCCCTCCACAGCAGAGAGGTTGCATCCAAATCATCTACTGTGAATAGTCCCTGGCCTGTGTCATTTCCTGAACCATGTCCAGATCTTCCTGGAAGGGAGCCAGCCTGCCAGGTCCCAAACGATGCCAGGGAGTGCTCTAGCACTTTGAATGTGCAAAGGATTGAGCTGCCATACCAAGGACATTTCATGGCACTGGTTCATTTAAGGAAACAGATATAGCCCTTCACTTTAACAGCTAGTTACCACAATCAGAAATCAGTGGTCAATATTAATCCATCTCAGAAAAAAAAAGAAAACTGTGGAACAAAAACTGCCTCAGATCAGATGGGACTAGTGGAGCACTAAACAGTTCTGCTGAAGCCACATTTGAAGGTTTCATCCTGACTGTATAGGGAGAGCAAGTTCTCCCTAGTTTTGCTCTGGTATAAATGGAAGTAATACACTCCTCTTCATCTGACTTGACATGACCATTCTTTCAAGGTACACATTTATTTTCTTTAATTAAACAGACACCTAAGGACGAGCTCTCAGCTGAGGAAATTCAGTGTCACAATCTAGGCAGGATGTATCTCAGTTCTAAATTTGAAACAATCTCAGTATAACATCAAACATTATTTTGTTGTTCATAGAAAACATGGTTTTCTGTAATCAATAATCAATACACAAGTTTAGGTATCAAGATCCACAGCTACTCACACTGTATCAGCAACTTAAAAAAAGGAAGACACATAAATTATGGCAGATAAATTAATGCAATACAGGAGGACAAGCTTTTTGTATCTGGACTAGTATAAAGTCTAAAAGCTAAATAGCTCAATTTCCTTGAAACTAATGTCTGGAATACAGCAAAATGGGAATTTCAAATCAAGCAGCTTATTATTATACATGTGAATAAGAGAGTACTGATGGATCCTATTAACCAGCATATAAAAGACAAGACGCTGCAGACAGAACGGATTTCTGATCTGCGCTCTCATTCTTTCTTGGGAAAGTCAGGAATATACTAAATTCTCGTGGCTGACTCTAGATATTTGTTACATTTACAGTGGTAAGTGGACATTGTGAAGTGAGGGGGGAAAAAAATATGGCAGAAATTTTGCAGATATTTTTTGAAGAAGGAAGGGGAGAGGAGTTTAAATGAGAATGGGTCATTTTATTTTGGCTCTAGTGTTCACTGTTTTGTTGCACCTTGACAATTATACTTGGTGTTTCCTTATTTGCTCTTAGTGCTGAGACATTCCTTTTCTGTGGCATTTGCTAGCTATCCTCAGCACACGTTGTCTTGGGTGCCCTTTCACTGGAAAATGCATATTGCTTCAGAGCGGTTCAGTTTACTCACATGAAGTCACACCGTGACCTCCTGTAGCATGACTGTTTACTTTGTCTGCTGAGAGATGGAGGCAAACAGATGCATCTTATTTGCTGAAAGAAATGGAGCAGGCTGAAAACTGTCAAGACAGGATTCCCCCAGTCTATTAGTGCTGCTGCCTGTCTCACCCTCTTAGTCCTGCTGCTGGCTGCCACCGCCATCAGAGGCAGCAATTATTCATTGATTTATTTCACCTCAGGAAGCTCACCCTTACAGCAGCAATTGTCTAGGACTTCCCCCCTGCAGTGATGCTCCTAGGATAGTAGCAATGAATTTGCAGTGTTACTTCCTGCACCCTGTCTCTCTGAGCTGTGTAAGTGGAGCCATCAGATGATGCTACGAGCCACTCCAGAAGCCGCATTCTTCATTGCAGCAGGCAAACACAAAATGCTCTGGGAAGCTGCATTCTTGGAACCTCTGTGTGAACACTGGAAAGCAAAGAGAGGAGACATGGGCCATGACAAAACTCACTTTGCTGGAGGGAATGAGCTCCTCCGAAGAATATTGTGTTAGTGTGACACCAACCAGCCACAGTTCAGAAGATGTGGATGGTAGTGAGAAGGAAGTTGCTGAAGTAGCTGCAGGAACTCTAAGTCTGGTTCAGACCTTAAGAGCCATCAGTTCAATTACTATTTTGTAAACACAGATCGGAAAGCATACACCTAGAACAGGAAGGTTTCTTCCTTCTTCTCTGACAGACTTGTGCTGGTGGGAAGATAGTGCTCTTATTTTACATTTATTTCAGTGACAATCATTACAACCTACAGATCTTTCCCCCCTTCCTAGAAGTAATGTTAGGGACATCCCTGGACCAGGTAAACTTTCAGAGTTGGTGAGGGAGATAGATAACATAAGTACCTTCTTTCCCTTTCTGGAGGACTCTGAATTGTTGAACTAGGTTTGTTTGCAACATGAGACTAGGAATACTGCTCTGAAGTGGAGAAAACACCCTTGTCAAACACTAGTAAAGGATGAAGAATATCTGGACAGGCTGCCACCTCCCTTGCCTGATAGTATCTAAGCAAGACCTTGGAACACCATTTTAGTGCAGTGAGGTAGACTCCAGCTAGTGTACGTATTTCAAGGACTGGGGATTTCATTCATCCCATCTCCTCTAGGAACTGGTCTCTGCAGGCCTTTCTGAGGTCCATAACTAACCACACAGGGCAGGTAGGAGGGCAGCACTGCTTGGGACAACTTCCTGCCTTAGAAAAAGCATTTCTTCCCATGTCCACCACCTTTTCAAGTCTAATATGGAAAAAAAAAAGTAGCTGATTTCACTCTGTAATAGTTTTATTTACTGTTAGGTGTGTTGATTGGCCAACCAAAGAGTCTACTTGTTCTGTTTTTGTGTTTAAAAAGCTGCTGGTGTGCTGGAAAAGGAGGAGGCAATTTGCTGAGAAACACAGCTTCCCTTTTTTCAAACTGTTTTCGTCTAAATCATGTGGATGCAGCAGTTGTTCTTGAAGGCAGACATTAAAGTTTGTTTACGTTTCTGTGTGGTATCTCGGTAACAGAACAGCGATTACTGCTGGGCTTTAGTTGCTGTTGGAAGGAATTATGTGATGAGACACTGTCTCAACCTCCCCCCCCTCAGATAAAGTTGCAAATATTGTAAAAATAAACAAACAAAAATCTCCAAAGAAACAAACAGATACAGATTTGCTACTGCCAACAACATCACATCACTTCTATTTACTTTTCCCACAGAATGCTTCTACAGAGATTTTTCAGGATCCCTCTCATACCAGCTCTGGCACTGACTGCAATGCAGAAGTCTTAGCATAGGTGACTGCATTGGGCAGAAGAATTATTTGAGTAGATCCTAAGAGACAATCCAAGGAATATTTTTGGTTCACCTGTACTGTAAACCTTCCCACCAAACACGGACAGCTATTGTAGGAAACCTCCCATTTGCTTTCAAAGTGAGCTTCTAAAACAAAAATTGAATTTAGATATATCATTAACTTGTTTGTAAGTTCATTTTGAAGGGATAGAGTGATGGTTAATGACACCTTCGTTAACCTCAAAGCAAGAACGTATGGTTATCATGGATGCAGTGTGGTAAGCATCCATACTGTACACAAATATAGCCAATTTGTGGCTAAAAAGTGTCCCTAAATGCTACTAGTATGTCAGCATCATACTGCAACCTGCCCTTAAGGAAAGAGCTAAGAGAAATAATGAAATGTAGAACTTCAAGTCTATTTTGTTTTTTGTTTTAAAAAACTCACCTCAAGGAGTATAAAATTAGTTTTCATGTTTTTCATTTTAAAATAGAGTGAAAACTCAAGCTAAAAAAGCACTGAACTTGAAGGCTTCTGTATTTTCCCACTCA